AAAATAAAATAAAATAAAATAAAAAAATTAAAAAGTTGATTAGATAACCTCTTTAGAAATTTGAAAAAATATACAAATGAAAAATTATTTTGAAGTATTAAGTTAGCAAAGATTGCTAATACAGTTTGAGTAACGCTTATGTAAAATGTTGGACCAAAAGTGATTTGTATTTTATTTATTTATTTTTCTGTGCAACTGGGGATTGAACTCAGGCCCTTGCCAGAGAAGCGCTTATTCCACTGAGCTGTCTCCCCAGCCCATGATTTGTATTTTAGATATCTTCAGATTGTAGAATATTTTCATATACATAATGAAACATTTTGGGGGTGGGACCCAGACCTAAAAATAAAATTTATTTATGTTTCATATATATCTTATATACACACAACGGCGATTAAAAAAAAGTATGTTTAAAATTTTTAAACTTATTATAGTAAAAGACACATTACCATAAATCTCTCTCGTAGTACTCCCTCACACTTCTAACAAACTTATTCCATTACTGTTGCCACTAGGTTTTTAGTTTTTGAAGTAGAGGATTGCTATGTACTTTGGACTAGGTATTGCTGTGCAGTTTGGGCTGGCGTTGAACTCATTATGTAGCCCAGGCTGATCTTGAAGTTACAACAGTCCTCCTACTTGAGCACCTGGAGTGGAGGGGTTCTAGGCATATACCACCAAGCCATCCTCTTAACACTTTCTGTGCAGATGCCTTGTTTGACTTTACCGTATTTTTTTGGTTGAACTGTTTTTTAGAAGAGGTTTATTTTTTGTTTTTGGTGCCAAGGACCGAACCCAGGGCTTCCAGCTTGCTAGGCAAGCATTCTACCGCTGAGCCAAATCCCCAGCCCCCTTAACACTTTCTGAAGCAGAAAGAACTTATAGAAGTAAGTCCTCTTTCATTATTATCTTTTTTGTAGCTGCCTCAATGTCCTGAATCAATTCAAAATTGTTTGTGGTAATTCCTGTCAAATTAAACCTTACAATGTTTTCATCTACCTTATTTACTAGATGTGGCACTGTGCAACTTCTGTGTCTTCACTAAGGTCAGAGAGACCATGAAAGATGGACATTTTGAATTGAATCAGGACATCAAGGCAGTCAGGAGAGCACAACTAAAGACACAAGAGGATTTGTAATTTGAAAGTACTTTCAGGGGCCAGGGAAATGGCTCAGTAGAATAAGCGCTTACCTGGCAAGCACAAGGACCTGAGTCAAAACCCCGGTTCCACCAAAAAAAAGAAAAGAAAGAAAGAAAGTACTTCCATACTTCTCCTCCAAATAGTAGTTTTAGTATGATTATATTTTGATTACCAGCCCCATGAAGTCAGATGTGGCATTTTCCACTTGTGGTTTCATGTTTTGAATTTTTTTTTTTTTTGCAGAACCAGGGATTGAGCTCAGTCCCTTGCACTTGCCAGGGAAGCACTTATTCTACTGAGCTATCTCCCCGGCCCCGTGTTTTGAATTTTGAATTGTTTCAGACTTTGGAGTTTTGGCTTATTGGTAACTCTCAGCTCTTATAGGTTTCTTTCAAGTTAGGTTTTCAGTTTAACTATTGAGCAAAATTAGGAACACTGAGCAGATTTTTTATTTCAAACTTTGTCATTCAAGTAGTGGAAAGTTTGAACTTGGAGCTGTTTTGTTACGTTTCTTTTGGGTACCAGTGATCGAACTCAGGACCTTTTGCTTGCCAGGCAGGCATTTAAACCACTTAGCTATCTTCCCGGCCACTCTTCGAGCTATTGACAACCAGAATACTGTTGTATTTGATCAGGTATACAAAGGAACTGAAAAAGTGCTAACATCTTTAGCCCTTCAAAAAATATATTTATTTATTTATTCTCTGTCTCTGTCTTTCTGTGTGTGTGTGTGTGTGTGTGTGTGTGTGTGTGTCTGTCTGTCTGTCTGTCTGTCTGTCTCTCTCTCTCTTTCTCTCTTTCTCTCTCTGAGGCAGGTTCTTGCTTTGTAGTACAGTCCAAGTTTTTTGAGACAGGAACTCTTAAGTCACTAAATTTCCCAGGCTGGGCTTCAACAACTTGAGATCCTCTTACCTCAGCTTCTTAGAGTGCTGGGATTCAGACATGTACTAACATGCCTAGCTATCACAGTTTTAATATTATCAAAGCATTGGATGTAACTTTAGTTGTCCAACAAAAAGGAAATGGTTAAATAAATTATGATATGTACTTAATAAACTAGAAAATAGTAAATAACCACATAAAATGTTGATATAGATTCACTATTAAAATTTGATTTATATTTTTTTTTTTTGTGGAACCGGGAATTGAACTCAGACCCTTGCACTTGCCAGGGAAGCGCTTATTCCACTGAGCCATCTCCCTGGCCCCCTATAAATAATATTTAAGTTATAGAAAATAGCCTCATCATCTAAAATCACAAGTCTAATACTAAATGCTATTTTTATATAGTATTTTAATGTCCCAACAGAATGGTATATTTTACCTGATCAGTATCAGATGAGTGCTGACTTGCATCAGTTTGTCAAGCTCAGGAAGCATTAGCTGTCAGCAAGCTGGTGACATATTTGAAATGACAAATGTATTTTTATTATATGGTGAAATATATTGTCTCCTTTTCTAAGCCAAGACTAATATTTTGTTTCCAAAGGAAAACTCAGACATTTTCCACATTATTCTTTCTGGACAGTCATGGGCTTTGTTCCAATATTAACACTCATAGGTTCTCTTTTTCCTTATCAAAATTAAAATAGGCCAGACAGTTTCATGATTCTATTTTGTTTGTTTGGTTAATTTTTAAGAGACGCTACTTAATGTGATTTTTTCATGTTGGTACAGTAAATAGTAGCACAACTAACACTCCAGAGAAATCCTAACTCAGGCTTTTGTTGAATCTCAGTAGAGCTGACATTTTCCAGAGATGTACTATTCTACATTGTTTTCATATAAAATGCAAATTACACATTTTTTCTAGAATCATTGAATAGATAGGCTTTGTTTTTAAGCTTTTATATGTCTTTAGCAATTCCGTAGAATCTTTTCAGGCTGACAAAAGTAGAATGGTAATAAATATTTCATATGGATATTCATATGTAGTGGTATTCACCTATAGTTTTAACATGCTTGGATGCATAAATGTTCATGTGTACTAATGATGTAATTAACTTAAATAACTTTTTTTTTTTTTTTTTTTTTTTTTTTGGTGGAACCGGGGATTGAACTCAGGCCCTTGTGCTTACCTGGGAAGCACTTACTCCACTGAGCCATCTCCCCGGCCCAATAACTGGTTATTTAAATAAATCAGAAAAAAATGTGTATAAAGTTTCCAAGATTAATGTAGAATTTTCATAAGGTTAATGTGAGCTAGTAACCTAATTTCTGGTTTTATGTGATTAAGAACATGTTGTTTAAGTTTTATTTACTCCTCTACCTTAATCTTCATACATTTTGCATAATATTACTTATGTTTACCATCTCATCTACCTTTTGAAATATTTTTCCTACAGTTATGCAGAAGGCATGGAGGGAAAGAAATCCTCCAGCTCGAATCAAAGCAGCCTATCAAGCTTTAGAATTAAACAATGAGTAAGTTTTAAATACATGGAAAAAAAAGTTTGCTTTAAATAAACTCAGGCAAATGGTTTTATATTTTCTTTCGTCTGTTCCTAATTCTTTTCGAGTTGTTAGTGTTCCTTTTTCTTTTTGTATTCCGGAGATAAAATTTGCAGTGTTCATCAGCACTTGCATTTTGCTTCCAAAATTGTAAATTTATATATACTTTTAAATAGAAATTAAGAATTGCTTTTACACTTTCGAATACTAATGGAGAAATGGTAATAGTTAATTTTTGAAAGGGTATTAAACCTTATCCCACTGTTTTAATTTTGCTTTTCATTTAAAGCATTCATTCACTTCTGTAAACTTTAGTTGTTTATGGACTTAGGGGGACATAAGAGGATTCAAAATAAGTAAACCAAAGCTCTTTCAACTTAATAACTTTTCATGTTAACAGCATTTTTTAAATCTCTTTATATCTTGAGAAGATAAATATAAAATTACTAGTCAACCCAATATTTAAATGGGACAGATTAATAAACATTAATCTAATGTATACTAACTAAATGCAAAGAGTAAAAATATAATCCCAGTTGGTTCATTTGAGGAGTGTTTCCCAGATAATGTGAATTTGGAGATTTCCTCTGAAAACCCCTAGTAGATACATTATCTTCAGTAAGATGACCTTCCAACGGTGGAACAAAAAATGGGCAGAACAGCAAATTCCAAAATGAGTGAATTTTTAAAAAATGGTCAAAAGTTTACAATAACCTGGTGAATGCTTAACGAGGGAAAAATTACTAATTTTCGGTAAGCAAGCTTTGTGGTATTTTAAACTACCCTGGCCCCATCTTCCACTGCCTTGCTCCATGGAAGCCTTGACAATAGTGCACATCCCAAGTATAGGTTTCTAGTGCTGGAGGAAGTCACATGGACCTTATTCTCAAGGAATTGTGGTTGTTTTGACCTGTGGGGTGGCCACCCGAAGAACCAGCTCAGAGCACTTGCCTTCAACTAGCTTGAACTTTTCCTAGCACTGAATTTATTGCACTTGGGAACATTTATTGAAAACATTGATAGGCAAATATATTAGCCACTGCTGCTGCCTAGAATAAGGGATCATAGCTGTGAAAAAAAAAAAAAAGGAGAAACCAAAAAGAGTATGGGACATGTGGGGAGAATAAAGACTTTGTTCCTGGGACTCTCAAAGGCTCTACATGTGGCTAGAGTTGAGCTTGTGCTTAGGAAAGACTTGCAAACGCCTGAAGCTCTCATGTCTGGCTAACCTTTAGATAGTGTATAGCATGAAATGAAGGCTAAGGCAGAGTTGTAAACTGCCTGACTGAATGTTGATAATGTGCCCAGCACACATACAAGAGCCCATGGCAAGGATTGCTTTTGTGTATGTCTCTTCTGTGGATGTTTTGGCTCTAGATATTTAAGGAAATTCCTATGAAAACATTAACTGACACTAAGCTGAGAGCACAAACCACATTGGTCACACATGACAAAGAACACAGATTTTAATAAAATTGGCTCAAAAATTCAATAAACATACAACTACATGCAGCAACAAAAAGGGAATGGAGGAAATCTGATGTCTAGAATTGCCAAAATATGTTGTGGTCTATATACCAGAAAGAAAATAAGTGACTAGAACCTGCCTGTGAAGAATCCTACTTTGGATTCCATAGACTGTAAGTAAACTGTTTTAAATATATTCAAAGAGGTAATGAAAAGTATGAGGATAATGGCTTACCATTAGAGATACCAATAAAGGAAAAGAAATAATAGAAAAACTAAATCGAAATTTTAAAATTGAGAAGTATAACTGAAATAAAAATTTACTGTAATAGTTCAGTAGCAGATTTGGGAAGGGAAAAGAATTAGCAAATTTAAATAAGGTCAACTGACATTATCTAGCCTAAGAAGCAGGAAAAAATAAAGGAATGAAGAAAAAGAAAGTGTCTAGGAGCTCTTTTGGACACTATCAAACATCCCTACCTATGCATAGTGACCATCCCAGAAAAGAGAGAGAAGAGAGCAGGAATAATATTTTAGGAAATAGTGGCCCAAACCAGAATCTTAGCACACCAAATCCAGAATCATCTTGAATGAATTGCATTCCCTGACCAAGTGAGGTTTATTCTTAGGATGCAAGAATGAGTGCATACATATAAAAATTTTTTTTGTACATACAGAATTGATCAGTGTAGTACACACATTAACAGAATAAAGGAAAGTACGTGATCATCTCAGTTCAGAAAAGGCATTTGACAAAATCTAATACCTTTTGATGATAAAAAATGCATAAAAGTCAATGAATGGTCAGCTGTGGTGTTAAATGCCTCTAATCCCAGCAGTTGGGAGGCAAAGGCAGGAGGATTGCTGTGAGTTCAAGGCCAGCCTGAACTACACAGCAAGACCCTATCTGGAAAAAAAAAGTCAAACAAAAATTAATGTAGTATATCATACTGCTAGAAAAAAATTTTTAAAAATGTAATTATCTCAATTGCTGAAAAAGTCAAAAGCCAACACAATTTTATCATGAAAAACAGTAAAATTAATAAGGAGTCCTCAACCTAATAAAGAACATCTGGAAAATCTACAGCTAACTACTGTATGTGCTTAATGATGAGAGGCTAAATACTTTCTATGATCAGAAAGTCAGGACAATTAGGCAAGAAAAAAAATAGTGTCAGAATTGGAAAAAAAGTGAAACTATCTCTATTCACAAGTAAAATTATCTTGGGCCAGTGACATAGCACAGTTGCATAGCCCCTGCCTGGTAAGTGCAAGATCTTGAGCTCAATTTATGGTACTAAAAAGAAGATGATCTTCTGTGCACAAAATCTTAAGAATCCAGGTAGAAGAAAATGCTGTAAGAACCAATAAAATAATTATAAATTAGTTGGAGATGGACCTCAGTGGGTAGAGCACTTGCCTAGGATGTATGAAGTCCTTAGTTTTATCGTAAGTGCTAGAAAAGAAAAAAATACTTTAAAATATTGCAAGAGGGCCAGGGAAATAGTTTAGTGGCATAAGCCTATCTGGCAAGCATAAGGTCCTGAGTTTGATCCCTGGTAACCGAAAAAAAAAAAAAAAAAAAAAATTGCAAGAAACAAGCTCAGAAAAATTAGCTATATTTCAGTATGTTAGCAATGAAAAATTTGCAATTCTACTTAAAATCGTGTCAGAACTATTAAAATACTTAGGGATAAATTTAAAGAAGTGCAAGACTTGTATAGTGAAAAATACAAAACATTGAAATAGTTAAAGGGGACCTAACTACATGGAAAGGCATCCTCTGTTCATGTCAATACTCACCCAGTTGTATTACAGATTCTATGCAAGAGGTTGAGGCATGAGGCTTGCATGTTCAAAGTCAGCCTAGGTAATTTGGCGAGACCCTGTCTCAGAACAGAAAAGGACTAGGAATATAGCTCTGTGTTAGAGCCATTAACTGTGTGTGGGTCCAGTCCCCCACTATTAAAAACAAAAACAGAAAGGAAAAAAAGGATTTGGAGCATGTCTTTATGACCTTGGGTTTTGCAATGACTTATTAGATATGACATCAAAAGAATAAAAGAAAAAATTATAAACTAGATTATCAAAATAATTTGTGCATCAAAGGGCACTATCAAGACAGTATAGATTTGTGATTGCCATGGCTTGAGGAAATAGGGAGATGGAAATGACTGTTAGGACTGTTTTGGAGCTCTTTACAGTGATAGCTGCACAATGATGAGAGTATATTAAAAGTCTGTCAACTATACACTTCAAATGCTCTGAACTTGGCACATACCTGTAATCCTAACACTCCAAGACAGGAGGTAGTGCACTACCATGCCAGGTCTCAGTGGCCAGCTCAGTGCTCCCAGGGATGGGGCTAGTGCTGCATGTGGTGCGGGGGATTGAACCCCAATCCCTGTGCTTGCCTGAGCAGGTACTTAGTCCACTGTTCTATCTCTCTGGCCCTCCATCTAGATATTTTGAGGAATTTTTTTTTGGGCGGGGGTGCTGGCTCAGGCTGCCTTAATGGCAGGTCTGGTAAGGCGTGAGGAGCTGGAGATCAAACCGCAGTATCCTGCGCCTGACTGCATTTGCATAAGCCAGCACTTAAACAACTGAGCTAACTGGCAGGCCCCCTAGATATTTTGAAAAGTATTTTGTTATGGTTATTTAAAGACATTTGATGTGGTGTTTAGAGTGGCAGTCAGATGCCCAGTGTTTAAAGAAGTATGTCTGTGTTTCATAAAAATCTGGTTAATATACTGAAGAAATCTTTGCTGATTAGAGAAATTATCATATAGTTTAGATGTACTGCTTGAAGGCTGTTTAGGTGGCATTTCTATAACCTTATTGATCCTAATTGATGATAGCAGCCTTGCCATCACTTTTATTTCATGCCTTCCTTTTATACTTTTACCACTCTTCTCTTGCTTAGGTAAGCACTGTTCAATTGAAATATAATATGAACCATGTGTGTAACTTTAAATCTTCTAGTATGCAGTCATATTTAAAAAGTGAAAAAAAAATTTGAAGTGCTTTTTAGCTACATGTAAGATATTAAACTATTGCTTTAACATATATTTTTAAAAACTAATGCTAATCAGCTTCCCATCATTATGACCAAATACCTGATTAAATCAGGAGGAAATGTTTATTTTGGCCTCCAGTTTCCGAGGTTTCAGTCCATAATCACTTAGCTTCATTGCTTCTAGGCCTGTGGTGAAGCAGAAACATCACAGCAGAAGGGTAAGACAGTAGCAAGCTGCTCATCTGAAGATAGCTAGGATGAAGAGAAAGAGACAGAGATAGACCGGAAAAGAGCCAGAATGGTCACGCTCTTCAAAGACATGAACTAGGTGACCTGTTAATTCTCAGTAGCCCATTCAGCTGAGAACTAACTCATTGGTGGGCTGACTCATGGAGGGGCTAGCATTCTCTTGACATGTCACCTCTCTAGACCTCATCTCTGAACACAGTCTTTGAGGGACTTTTTAGATTATTTTTTATTTTTTAGGGAAGGGTCTACAGGGTGTTCAGGGTCTCACTACTAGATTGGACTTGTAGTGATCCACCGGTTTACAACCTCCCAAGAGCTGGGATTACAGGCTCACACCACCACGCCCAGTCTCAATTGCCGTCTCAGTGCACCCCAGGGGTGGGGCCAGCACAGCAGGCTCAGGGATCAAACCCCTGACCACTGCGTCTGCTGGCAGGTGCTTTAATCCACTGAGCTATTTGGCCAGCTCTGCATTTTAGCTTCAAGTCCTAAGAACTATTAAGGAAAGAGTTTACATTTTTCTTAGTTTTCAAGATTCCATGTTCCTTTTACATTTATATCACATCTCAACTCAGACTAGCAACATATGGCTGCTGACTAGAATGCCGGATAATGTAGGCATTGGTAGTCAGAACTAAGACATTGCCCCCAAAGAGATGTACTACTGATTTCTAGGAAAACTCATTGCTTATATTTTTAGTCTTTTTTTTTTTTTGTGGTACTAGGGGTCAAACTTGGGACCTTACACTTGCCAGGCAGGCACTTGTGCTGCTGAGCTATCTCCCTTGTATTTTATTTTTTTATTTTTTTTTTTTGTGTGTGTGTGTGTGCAAAAACAATTAGTTTGTCTTCTTAGCCAGGTATTGAAAGATACAAAGAAAAATCTCTGGTTTTGTAGGGTGAAGAAAACATGGAATAAGCACAGGTATAAGACAGCCTAGGAGGATAGAAGGATGGACTGAAATTCAGACCAAGGGAAGTTGTATTACACACTGCTGTGGATAAATAAGCCCAAGGGAAAGGGGCATGTGCAAAGATTTCTGAGTCAGATATGAAAGGTGCCTGGTGAGCAGTCTTCCCAGTATTAACTCTATCTCATAGCTGCCCACAAAGATAAATAGTACACAGTATAGTATATAGGGACTAAGAGCACTTATATGATCACTAAAGTATATGGTCCCAGGGCTGGGATTTAGCTCAGTGGTGCAGCACCTGCCCTGTAAGCATGAGGTCCTGAGTTCGATTCCCAGTACCCCCCCTCCAAAAAAAAATATACATACATACATTCCCCAGAACTACTTTCCAGATATTTCTTTATATGTGCTCTTTTTCTTCCACAAAAAGAAAACAAGGCAAAGGGTAGGAGAATGGAAATGGAATTTTTAAAAGATAGAAAGTGAAGAGTAGAAGAGAAATAGTGGAAACTTAGGGAACTAGGCATAATGAATGTATCAATATGTCCAAATAATTAAAATTTGAATGAATTTTTTTCTTTTTTTTTTTTTATTCAGAGATGAAAAGTGTTGGTGAGTGTAAGGGAAACATGATATAGACCAAAGGATATACCCAAGAGAAAATTCTTGCTTTACCATTTCACTTAAAATTGCCTTGCTTACTTTTTCCATAGTTGTGCCACTGCTTACGTCCTACTGGCTGAGGAAGAAGCAACCACTATTGTAGATGCTGAAAGGCTATTTAAACAGGCGCTCAAGGCAGGAGAAACAATTTATAAGCGGTCACAGCAGTGCCAGCACCAGAGTCCTCAGCATGAAGCTCAACTGAGTAAGCAAAATTGAACTGATTTTTACTGTCTTTTATCTGTTATATAATTGGCTTTTATGTTTAAAACACAAAATAATAATAAAAACACTTGGGGCTAGGGAGATAGCTCAGGGGCATAAGTGTCTACCTGGAAAGCACAAGATCCCACGTTTAGACCAGGGAGATGGTTCAGTGGAATAAGCGCTTCCCTGGCAAGCGCAAGGGCCTGAGTTCAATCCCTGGTTTCACAAAAAAAATGATCCCACGTTTGATCCCTGGTTCTGCATGCCATGCAATGCCGGGCATGCCATGCTACCCCAGAACCAGACATGGTGGCACACATCTGTAGTCCCAGCACTCTGGAGGTTGAGACAGGAGGATCACTGTGGGTTCGAGATTAGCCTTGGGGCTACAAAAGTGAGCACAAGGCTAACCCAAACTGTAAAACAAGACCCTGCCTCAAAAAAAAAAAAAAAATAATAATAAAAACACTTAATATGGAGGAGCTTGCTAATTTTTATAAGCTATAACTAAAGATTTGTTATTTCTAATCTATCAGTATCAGCAAGATAGAAATATGTATTAGCCAGAGAATAATTTTGGAAAAGAATAAAACTGCTGTGGTTATTGAAAGGAAATATAGCTGCTCTGAGAGTTACAACTTATGTAAGAATTGGGCTGGTCATTAGAGAAACGTAAGTTAAAAAATCTTAGGATTCAGGAGGACCTTCTAGGGGTGATAATTAGTAATGAGAAAAATCTAATGATGATGAGTATGTTTTTAATTCTTCTGGCAAGATACCCAGAAGGAGAATAGCTGGTTCCCATGGGACCTCCAATCTCAGTTTTTTAAGGAATCTTCACATTGATTTTCATAGTGGTTGTATCAGTCTGCATTCCTACTAACAGTGGAGAAGAGTTCCTTTGTCTTCATCGCCCCACTAGCATTTGTTATCGGTTGATTTTTTTTTTTTTTTTTTTTTTTTTTGATGATAGCTATTCTTTCTGAGAGAATCTGACTTGTTTAATTTGCATCTCTCAAATGACTGATGAAGTTGAACATTTTTTGTGTGTTTATTTGCCATTTATATTTTCTCATCTATGAAGTGCCTGTTCATCTCTGATGCCCATTTTTTTTTCGGTGCCCATTTTTGGATTGGATCTTTGAATTTAAGGGGTCTGATTTTTTTTTTTTTCAATTCTTTATATGTCCTAGATATGAATCCTTTGTCTGTGGGACAACTGGCTGTAATTTTCCCTTTGATGATGTCTTACCTTTATTTTCCGCTTCAGGGAAGACAGTAGTAGAGGCACATCGCCCAGCTTCTGCCCAGGCACATCATTTTGTTTGCTCTTCAGTCTATTTATTTATTTAGTGTGTGTGTGTGTGTGTGTGTGTGTGTGTGTGGCCAGCTCAGCCCACCAGGGGGCGGGACTGGCTGGCATGTGGTGCTGGGGGATTGAACTGTGGTCCCTGTACTTTGCTTGGCTTAGCTTGTTCTGAGTAGGTACTTTAGACCACTGAGCCATCTCACCAGCCCTCTTCAGTCTTTTTTACACCATGTTTCTAGCACAAAATTCAACCTTATTTGTGGCTGTGGGTTTTTTGTTTGTTTTTTTATTTTCTCCATGATGTATTTAGGCTTAGATGGGCCATGACAACTGAAGTTTTCTTTCCATTCATAAGGCTGCTCTCCTAGTGAGACACTTTAAAATTTTTTAAAAAATTTATTTATTTATTTATTTTCAGAACCAGGGATTGAACTCACTTCCTTGTGCTTGCCAGGAAAGTGCTTATTCTACTGGGCCATCTCCCTGGCCCCCTTAATTTTTTTTTTTTGAAACAGGGTCTTACTATGTAGTTCAGGCTGGTTTGGAGCAAACTTTATAGCCCTGGCTGGTCTTGAACTCAATACGTATCCCAAACTAGCCTCAAACTGCTGATGATCCTCCTGCCTCATCCTCCCAAGTGTTGGCATTATAACCATGTGCCATCATGCCCAGCAAAAGTGAGATTTTTTTTTTTTTTTTGAGACCAAATCAGGGGGCTTAGGAGTAAGGAAAAACCACCAAAAAGACGCTTTACACAAGATCTGACCTCCCTGGCTCATCTGGATCTCTCCAGGTCCACCGTGACCAAGAGCAAAAGTGAGATATTTTTACCAAAGAAACTAACTAGAATTAGCAATGTTTCTGTTCCTGGCTTTTGGCTTTTGGGACTAGAGAGTTTTAGTTTCATGATTTTGACAAATGCTGGACAATAAATTGAAATATGTTTATATAATACATTGTTATCAGATAACTTGTGAATGTTTGTAAAAATTAAAATTTGGATAATTTTTCTTTCTAAAATATTGATGTATACAGTATATTTCATTGATGTATGTTTTTTTTTAATATTTATTTATTTATTTATTTATTTATTTATTTTGTGTGTGTGTGGCCAGCTCAGCCCACCAGGGGGCGGGGCTGGCTGGCATGTGGTGCTGGGGGATTGAACTGCGGTCCCTGTGTTTTGCTTAGCTTAGCTTGTTCTAAGTAGGTGCTTTAGACCACTGAGCCATCTCACCAGCCCCAATGTATGTTGTTAAAACTGGGAATTTTTAATTTTGTATCCTTGAATTCCGTATTCTGTTTCTCATTTTTACCAGCTGTAATGAAACTATCTGTAAAACAGTCATGTCATTTGTTCTGGTTCAAAATCAAATATTGTTATTTTGTTAGCCGTCTTCTAGAAGCAGTTCAAATTTTTTTTAGTTACTAGCTATTAAGAAAAGTTACTAGCCATGAAAATTTTGTTTGGGAAATGTTGAATTTTTTAGTTAAGAGAACTTTTTTTAGATTGTTTATGCAGAAACTGAGTAAGCTAATGATTTATATCTGTACTAATACATACATTTCCCTTATGTGATCATTAAAATGAATGTGCCAACTACAAATTACTGTTTATATGCTGCTGTGGATTTCTATTAGATGCAAAAGTAATTCAGTATGTATTTTAAGCTTTTAATACAGAAAATTCAAACATACACAGAAGAGAATTACTATTCAGTATTCATCATCCAGATTTAACAATCACAGTCATTAGGGCTGGGGAGATAGTAGAATAAGCACTTGCTTGGCAAGTACAGGGTCTTGAGTTCTATCCCAGGTACTGCAAAAAAAAAAAAAAAAAAAAAAAGTGCAAGGTAAGCAAATAAAATTAATTATGTTAATTAAATAGCCTAGGGCCAGGGAGATAGCTCAGCAGCATAGGCGCCTGCCTGGCAAGCGCAAGGTCTGGAGTTTAATCCCTAGTACCCCCCCCAAACAAACAAATAAACAAAATAGGCTATAGCACACAAGTGATAGTTGTGTCATTTTTTTGTTTTTATAAACAGGGAGAGATACCAACGTACTAGTATATATTAAAAGAAGATTGGCAATGTGTGCAAGAAAATTAGGAAGAATAAGAGAAGCAGTGAAAATAATGAGAGATGTAAGTAAATTTGATAGCTATACTACATATTTTTTCCTCCAAAACCTGAGTGTATGTATATATATATATATATATATATATATATATATATATATGTATGTTTGAGTCTCCAGTTTTATGAGAAAGCAAAAGAATTGGTTCAATGAAAATGTTTTCGCTCTTTTGTGTTCCTGTTATGATTTTCATCTTTTTTTCCTTTTAATATATAGTTGATGAAAGAATTTCCTCCTCTTACCATGTTGAACATCCATGAAAATCTGTTAGAATCACTTTTAGAGTTACAGGCCTATGCGGATGTTCAGGCAGTCCTAGCAAAATATGATGGTGAGTTTTATTTGTTTTATTTGTCTTAGTTGATAGCATTGTTACAGTAGTCATGTTTCAATTATGTAGTTATAAATATGATTATATTCTAGTACTCTAATTTTTCTCTTTTTTATGGGTCAGTATTTAGGAAACAAGTTGTACAAGTTGGTATTAAGTATACTCTTCATCAGGACTTTTGGCAGCAAAACCTACAAGGAGGGCCGGGGAGATGGCTCAGTGGAATAAGCGCTTCCCTGGCAAGCGCAAAGGCATGAGTTCAATCCCCGGTTTTGAAAAAAAAGAAAATAAGTCGGGGTCAGGGAGGTGGCTCAGTACAATAAATGTTTCCCTGGCAAGTGTGAGGGCCTGAGTTCAATTCCCAGTTCTGCCAAAAAAAACCAGAAAACAAAACAAACAAAACCTACAAGGAGGAATTTTCTTCTGTCAAGATTTTTTCCTTTATTAAGTGCTTATTAAGTAATTAATATGTGTGAGGCACTTGAACGCAATAGTGAAAACGGAAACATGGATTTAGCCCTCTTAGGATTTACAGTTTAGTGTAACATGTAGACAAATGAATAGCAATTACACTGAAAACAGCTCTAGGTAAGCTAATTGGTTAGGAAAACATAGGCGTTGTACACATAGTAAAGTGTGTTTTTGAGAATCAAGAAAGGCCAATAAAAGTTGCTTATTTTAACATTTCAGAATAACATCTTTACAATGCTTTTAGTCATAAAGCATAATTTATAATCTTACATGATCCTTATAATTTTGTGAGATGGTAGGATAAGTATTTTTACTCTTTCTAGTTACAGAACTAAATTAGGCAACAGGAGTTTTAAGAAGGTTGAATATTGAGTAATACCTCCCAGTTAGTAAATGATAAGCCTGAATTTAAATCCAGATATTCTGCTTCTTTGTTCATTCCCATTAACAATAATTAAAGTTAATGGGCTATTTTTATAATTGTGATATAACAGTGGAAGCTTATAGCAGATGAAATTGGGAAAATTTTAAAGACACATGGGGGCCAGGGAGATAGCTGAGCCATCTAAGCACCTGCCTAGGCCAGTGCAAGGACGCAGGTTTGATCCCTGGTACCACATGCTCTGTGTTGTGCCGGCCTCACCCTGACGTGCTGAGCTGGCTGCCGATGCATGGTGGTGCATACCTGTAATCCCATTGCTGGGGAGGCTGAGGCAGGAGGATCACTACAAGTCTGAGCTGTATATCGAGACCCTGTACTAAGTACATAAAGGCACATGGACTTTCTCCTTATTTAGAAGAAGACATCAGCTTTTAACCTAAGCTGAAAACTTCATAATAATCATAATGTTTCTAGTTGTATCTTTAATTATAACAGAATACATATAAGTCATTTAGTCATACTTGTCTTATTGTAGGTTCCTACCCATTAGCTTGGGAATCCTTATGAGTTGGAAAGTTTGAAATGTGTTATATTTGGAAAGAGAAGTTTATTTCTTTTAAATATCTGGAATTCCTAGGCGGTGCTTCAGTATAATGTAAGCTCATAGAGAAATTTGTGAGAAATTTCTTTCATATGTACCTTAACTAGGTGCGTGGTCATGATATTTATACTGAACAAGCTTAGGGACTAAATATGAAAAATCAGAATAGGACATACTTCATTGAAAATAAAGTAAATCTAAAAATTAATAAAGCCCAAGTTGATATGTTTCTGTGTTCAGTTTCCATGAGCCTTAGTTTTTATCTTCCTAGCATCCTTTTTTTTTTTTTTTTTTTTTTTTTTGTGGAACCGGGGATTGAACTCAGGCCCTTGTGTTTACCAGGCAAGTGCTTGTTCCGTTGAGCCATCTCCCCGGCCCTCTTCCTAGTATCCTGAAGTGTAGATGAAAGCATGTTTACTTTCTTAATTCTCCATTTGCTAGAATAACTCTGGAGTTGGAAACACAAAAAGAATCACCAGTATTACCCTTCTTGTAACAGTACTTTAGGCATTCTTTTAGAAAATTTTTATTGCTTATTTATAGTACTAAATTAATTTTTAATTAATTAAAGATGATCATTTAAGAAAATATAGTAGAAAATCTAAGCCAGGTGTGTTGGCACACACACATAATCCCTGCATTTGGGAGACTGAGGTAGAAGGATGGCTGCAAGTTCAAGGCCATTAATGAGTTCAAGACTAACCTGAACCACATATGGAGATTCTGTATCCAAAAAACAAAAAGTGAAAAACAAACAAAAAGTAAGAAAATGGAAAATAAAAATCACCCTTTTTAAATTTTTAAATGTAAAAATCCTTCCATTTACATTTTTTTTTCAGTTTTTCTTCTATGAATGAGTATAGTTTTTACATAGTTCTAATTATGCTATGGCTTTTCTCCTGAATAGTCTTATAGTAAGCAGATTATTATAAACATTTTTAAGTACTTGTCAGTATTACTTAGAGGGCTCTTGTAGGCATAATTGAATTTCTGCCAGAAAATATGATTCTTTGTTTTGAGAAGAAAAAACTGAGATCAAAGAAATTGCTCCTAGCTTGAGGATACTTAGCTAGTACGGAGTAGGATCAAGATCGAAACTTAGGTCTTTGAGCAATGTGTTAAGGAGTTTTTGCTCCTAGAGTGTATTTGTTGAATTTCCACTATGAATCATTCTTTTTTTAAAAAATTTATTTATTTATTTGTGTGTGTGTGTGTGTGTGTGTGTGTGGCCAGCTCAGCCCACCAGGGGGCGGGGGTGGCTGGCATGTGGTGCTGGGGGATTGAACCGCGGTCCCTGTGCTTTGCTAAGCTTGTTCTAAGTAGGTGCTTTAGACCACTGAGCCATCTCACCAGCCCCTATGAATTATTCTTATGAAAAATTATCTTTAAGACATTTTCACAAATAATTAAAAATTGTATTACAGATATAAGCCTTCCGAAGTCAGCAGCCATCTGTTACACAGCAGCACTGTTGAAAACAAGAACCGTTTCAGATAAGTAAGTAGTTACGAAAGCTACAGTAATTTGGAAAGATTGTTAAATTGAGTATTGTTTGTCCTCTCTTCCTTCTGAATAGCTCTTAATTTTCTTTGACTTTGAAGCGTCTCATTGTATGTAGTGGAAAGAGGAGTTTTTAGAGTTAAATATTCTGAGGTTTAAATTCAAACTGTATAGAAGTTTGGCCAAGTTAATTATTTTGCATTTCTTTCTTATACCATCCGGTGATTGTGTGAGGATTGTGTGTTAAGCGCTTAAAGCAGAGTCTAGAAAGTACACATATAACAGTATGATGAAAGGCGTGTAGAAGGGAAATAGGATTCATGTTGTTGGTTCTTAGATTATGCAGTAATCTACTTGAATTATTCTGCTTTTCTTGTACTTTTAACGCCTCTTGTAGTTTTGACACCCCTGGCAAATGCAAGGACCTGGGTTCAATCCCCAGTACTGCATGCTGTGCCCACTGTGCTAGCCACCAAAATTGGGTGTGGTGGCGAACATGTGTAATCCCAGCATTGGAGAGGCTGAGACAGGAGGATTACTACAAGTCTGAGCTGTGTAGTGAGACCCTATACCAAATAAAGAAGTGATTTTTTAAAAATTAAAAAAAAAAAAAAACAGAACCTACCAGATACTCAGAAAGCAAATAAGTAGTGGCTGTTTTCTTTCATTTTAGGGTACTATGGCTTGATAAGGATGAAATGCCCACTCTGTTTCTTCTAGGATAAAAAGAAATACTGTACTTTTATTTCGTGAGGTGTTCTACATGTTCTTATATTTATTTCTGCCTTACCTTCCTAACAAAGGCTTTCTTTACCTAAATTTGAAAATTTTTATTCTTTATTAA